TTCGTCCACATTCCCATGTGGGGGAAGCGAAAGAGATGTCTAAATGGTTTCTCGCGATCTTGTTCTTCCTTCTTTCTTAATATCTCCTCATGACGAGATTCAACTTCATTAAACTGAACAATAAAAAGAACAGCTTTAGAAAGAATATATTAAAATTAACCAAAAAGAACGGAGATTAACTAACCTTAGCTGAATTGAGAAGGGTATGGTCTATATCTAAGACAAGAGAGAGCTTTTGAGATGCAAACATTTTGTTCTGTTCCTCTAACCTCCGAACTCTCTCTCTTTGAATAGCTACTCTCTGCATGTCATCATACCCTTCAAACAGGTGTTCCACATCTCCCCAACTGTTCATCAAACGAGTGGGACCAGCAGCAGCCGTTACTGATGCGGAAGAAACTGACACACCCACCTCCTGGCCGTTGGGATTTGAAGGATTATGTTTAACATCTCTGTCAGTCTTAGGCTCTACTGAATGCGTGGTTGTTGGGGGATTTCCAACTTGTTGTGATACAACAACCATATCAGCAATATTTTTCAGGTTTTTGGTGAACTGTGTTGAAAAATCTGGCGTCTTTCCACCCAAAACTTTCATTTTGCTAGAACCATTCTGGTTAATAATTTGCCGTGGAACAAGCTGGGAAGGTGTTTCTAAATCTTCTTTCATACCATTAATAGTCAAGGTTCCCCTTGTGGAGGAATCATTAACTTTGGACTGCTTTTCCAACAAAGAGTCTGTTCTTTGAAGAGTACTTCCATGCAGGATTCGGCGAGGATCACGAGGTTTCATGCGTATGCTTCCAGGTTCGTCCTGAAGAATGAAAAATCAGTTACTTTGAGAAAAATAGAAAGAAAATGTTCTACAATCCGTCTATATAAAGGATACTCACTGAGAGGGCGTTTTGGGAAGATTCCTGAAGAATTCCTGGCTTTGAAGAATTAGCAGCTAAAGCATTTGATGCAGGTATACTAAGCGGTGTAGATACCCCTGGTAGCACAGAAGATCCAGGAAGTTGTGCTGCTCTTCTTGGATCCATGGGCTTCTGAACAGCTTTTTCAGGTACCTTTTGCCTTTCTCCCATTTTCAGGAGATTCAGTAGCATTGTAGGATTGACTACAATATCCTTCAAAAGAGATTGCAATGAAGCAGCGTCAATTGAAGCTGTCGGTACTTTTTGGCTCACAGAAACAGCACTAGTGGTCATAGCACTTGTTGTCATCAATTTTACACCGTTCTCAATTAGCCTGGGATTGGTATCCACTTTTGGAAGTTCTGATGATTCTGTATCCTCTAGCCAGCCACCAATTCCAGCTGCTTTTGGTGCATCCATATCATTCTTTTGTCTTTTCCATGCAGGCCCATCAATAAAAAGTTCATCAGCGGCTTTTTGCTTTCTTGGATTCACCAAGTCCGCAGAAAGCTCTACTTTTGAAAGATTTCTAGCATCGCCAGACGAGTACGAATTAATGATTACATTGGCAACATCAGGTTTCACAAGCCGTAGTCTGGGATCTCGACTCTTTGCAGAAGGTTTCACTGTCTGATCAAATGTAAGAACTGTTTGAGTAGCACCTGTTGGCGCAGAAATAGCTTGAATAGACAGATGATGTGCTGGAACAGTGCTAGAAACAGCATTTGCAACAGGCATGCTTCTAGAATTAAAATTGGAGGGCAAAGGAACGTCTTGCCCATAAATTAGGAGAGTCCCCGGACTGGAGCTCCTAACAACAGAACTAGAAACCTCTCCACCAATGTCTCCATTGCCATCACTAGGTTCTCCTGATGGTGTTGGGCTTGGAAGATCATCTGTCTTAAATACCGAGTTAAGACCAAATTTTTTCTGGTAGGTAGAAACTGCTTTAAGGGCATCACTCTCATATGGATAAACTTTGGCACCTTCAGTTATTTGGCTCTCTCTACTAACGGGAAAACCTGGTTTAACCATTGTATGTCGAACATTTACTGGTAAAATTGGTGTTGTTTCCCTTGTGGGAGACGGAAGGCTATCTGCATCATGATCCTTATGAAGGTCTAGCAGAGGTAGCATAGGCAACCTACTCCTTGCGTAGGAGGCTCCTCGATGGGTACCTTCTGATGACAGCCTTTTGGCAAAAAACGAATCACCATTACTTGTCTGAGTCATCCGAGTAACATTATCACCACTGCTGGTTGCAGCATAACTTGCAATAGCAGAACGACTTAAATTCTGATTCATGGCCTCTATCTGCAAACCCAAGACATGTACTTATGTAAGAGAGAAGGCACTCTTCCCAAAGTTTGGAATAGTGGAAAGGATTTTGACTTCTGGTAATTCAACAGGTGAGCCAAAGAAACACACCTCATTTTTCTGGTTGGATGAGAGAAATCGGGAAAAATGGTCATTTACAAGAGTTAGCAATCTGCACAAGAAAAACCAAAAATAGTGTGAGCAATCCAGGGACTCCAGCGTGTTTAATCAAAGGGTTGGCGCAAGAAAATACGCTTAAAAGCAACCTTGACATAGTCTCCTTGTTAAGCTCCTTGGAAAAATTATTCAGCGAGCAAAACACCTGTAATAAAAGATAAGAGATAATTAGTAACATATAGAGCATTAAGTAGAAGAGTGAGGGCAACGAATCTTGAGTAGCCATACAGAGTTTATGGTTTGAAGAGAAGCAAATGACAGTTGAACCAAAGTATCCCTCTTCGGAAAATCATCATTATTTGAAACCAGCTCTCGCAAAGACTCCAAAGCCCCCAAAAGTTTGGAACAAACTCCTTCAAATGCTCTGAAAGGAAACCAAAAACAAAACAAAACATGGACAGAAACATCAAACATCAACTCCAACAGATGTTTTAAAATTTTCATCATCATCAAGTATTTAAGAGCCATCAGATCTCTCCATTCTCAGGATAGACTTACGTCTGTGCTTCAACCAACGAAGTACTCTCCAATACCGCACGGATGAGTTTCACTTTCATCTCCAAATCTCTTTCCTTCTGAATACGATCATCATCCACTTTATTAACACTTGCCAACACGGCAGATTCAGTTTCCTCCTCAACTCTTGCAAACAAATTTTCATCAGAAGCCGACTCCAACAATTCAATTTCACCTTCCTCCAACTCTCCTTCCTCTTTCTCATCACCACCATCTTCAGTCACAATCTTATTACTCTCTCTTGGTTCACAATCCATTACGAAACCTTCGCTAAGAGATTCGTTCTTCACAGCTTGAGCCCAAGCAAAACTAGTGAGACGCGAACGAAAACTAGGAAACTTCTTAATCAAATCACCCATTGTCCAAACCATAGGGTTGCCATTAGAACCACTTGCTCCTCTTGCTCCAGCCACAACTCCACCATCGACATCTCCGCCAACATCGGGGGTAGTGGTAGTAGGCGTCTTCTGCTTAACTTCAATGGAAGTGTTCACCGAATCAGGAATCTCACCTTCCTCTACATCACCCAATACCATCAAATTTTCATCGTTGGCCATAAGAATTAGGGTTCTAGAACAACAAGATCGAGCCGCAAGCATGTAAATCTCAACACTTTTATGATCAAAACGAAATCAAACCCAATCCGGAAAACAACAATCTGAATTCAAAAAAAGCCCCCCTGTTACGTCCCCCGTCTAGAGAATAGATCTCCAAAACGGAAAAAAAAAATTAGGGTTCTTCTCCAATTTAAATGGATTCAATAAAAAAAAAACACAAGAGATCCAAGTTTAAGAAAAGGTTATCAATTCAACTATTTTTTTTTTCTTATTTTCAAAAAGATTTCACAATTGAAAAATGTCTCGATCCAAGATCTATACCACCTTTGAGAAACAAAGCGCTTTTCAATTTTCTTCGTCTCCAATTGAGAGAGGTTACACAATAATTTTCTTCCGAAGGCCGAACTCAACTTTTTAAGGGAAATGAGAAAATAAGGAAATAGACGAAGAGAGAAGAAGAGAATCTAATGGAGTTTAATCTTGACCGTACACGTCAGCGATCCGAATGAGGTAAAATTATGTCAGCGCGCCGTATGATTTGCGGCAGATGAGATCAGGGTAAATGTGAATTGACCAAATTAGACATCTGTGATTTTTCTTTTTTTTTTAATCTTTTTTCTTTTTTACCAGTTAAGTGTGTGAAGTGTGAGATGATCCAAGTCTTTTGACTCGAAAAGGTGGTCAGTTAACTTACCTCTTTTACTAAAGGAAGTTGAAGTTCGTACGTACTTAACGTACACAGATTCCTCTGGTCATTGACACGTCTGCGGCTTTTAAGTAACTGTTATTTCTCTTCTCTTTTTTTATTATTATTATAGTTTACTGCTAATGGTATTATGTGAAGAAATTGTTTGACAAAAAAGAAAAAAATGTAACAAGAAATGTTTTTTTCCATAGATATCCAAAGTCATATATGTATGAACTTATTTAAAATTCTTTCTTCATATAAATTTTTGTTTCAGTTTGATTACTGTAAGGCTATATTTTAATTTGGTTCACAGTCAAACAAATTAGCCGGAATTTTCCCTATAAAATGTTGCATAAACAATTGCATTTTTTAATTTTATATTTGAAATATGTATATGCATGTTACGTTTTCTAATATTAATTTGTGTAACTAGGATAAAAGGACGTAAATAAGGTTCTTAATTAATATGATTCGGAACATGGACTGTTGCCATCAAAAATAGTAAAAAAGGGTTGTGTCAGTAAACAAGATGCATGGATTGTCTCGTGTAAAAGAAATTTAGGAGAGCCATGAAATCTTACGATAGGATGTAAGTTTCAAAACGAGAAGCATCAAACCTTATTTAGGCATTGAGCTCATATTGTACTCGGTCCATAATTTTTCTTTAGTTAATGTGGGATTGGGGAGTATATACTTATAACCAACCCGAGCAACGTTTGGTATATAATTTCAAATTAATTTCTATATATTCTTACAAAACAAAATAAAAACCAGAACTTGTCCTCAAAGTTCATGTTTTCTGTTTGTATACAACAAATCATCAACCCTTCAAGATGTCCAAATCAGTCTATAAAGGGTAAAACAAATACAACTGATGTCCTAAAACCGTATAAATCTCAATGTTTATACAAGATGTGTATAAGAGCCTCTCGTGTTGGCATCAATATTCAATCACCAATGGTTGTAAATGGAAAAAACAAAAATAAAAGAAGTAATGTAGAAGCGATCGATATACAACTAACTATACTAATATCTACAACTTATCTGCGATTTTCGTTACAGCATCTGCGAGCTTGTTGAGAACAGCGACTAAGCTATCACCGTGATCTTTTCTTTGCTCTCTGTCTAGTTTCAAGTTTAAATTCTGAACCTCAAGCTGTGCCGCCAACAACTGCCCGTTTCTTTCTAGTATCTCTATCAGTTGATTCTGCATCTTCTTTGTTTCCCCTTCTCCATCTTCTTCCTCTTCTTTTTCATTAGTAGATGTTCGTTTACGCTTTCTCTCTTCTTGTGATGTCGATCCACCTTCCACATTTGCTCCTTCTGGATGTTTCTCTTTCAATCTACCTTCAAGTTCAAAATCAACTCTTTGGTCAAAAACAAGATAAAAACGAAAAGATCATGTACACCGAAGAAGATATAGTTAAGCTAGCTTTTTTCACACAATTAAGTGATGCATTTGAATTTGATAATACTAAACCATCTTTACTTGGATGACAACATATTCCACACAACTCTGAAAGCTCTAAGACTAGATCAAAGCAACATTGGAGATGTAACACACACAAAGGTAAACAAGTATAAGTCCTCCAAATCAAATCATAGTGTTCTTTGAAACCGAATAAGACCCTACACTTATTGACACATTTTGTTCTTAAAAACTTGTGAAGTCTTTTGTACCAAGTCCAAAAGCATCTATTAATGGCAGGATCGGCCAGAATAATAATAAACAAACCTTGATCTGCTTTACAAGCTTCTTGCTTCTCCTTGTCTACAACATCTTCGTAAAAAAAGATTTGAACTTTCATTAGCATTGGACTCATGGTGATGAACTTTAAGAAATAAAAATTAAAACTTTGATCTGAATATACCAGAAACTGATATGGGTACCGGAGTCGAATTCAACTCATTTGGCCGATCTAAATCAGGCAACAAGCCCTCCTCCGACGCCGGAGCCAATCCAAGAGCAAGAGTCGGAACCGCCGGAGGAATCACAGCGCCATCAACAATATCATAAACCTCCTTATCGAAAAAACCAGGAAGCTTCTTCTCTCTACGAACATCGTTCCTCATAACCCAATAAGACTCTGTCTCTTCCTTAACCTGAGACTCCCATTCTTTAATCTTCTTATAATCTCCGGCGAGGTTGCTCCATCTTTTCCGGCACTGAACCGGCCCACGGTTCACGCCATGGCGCCTGCAGTAAGAAGAAACAGAAGCCCATTTAGGCTCCATTTGACCCGACCCGAGAGCCATACCCGCCGCTCTACCTCGCCGGACTCTGTTCTCGGCCACTCTCTTCCCCTGAATAAGCACCAAGATCTCTTGCCTCGTCCAACGAGGAAGCCTCGCCGTTTTAACGCCGTCATCTCCACCGTCATTAGACGGCGCACTACTGTTCTCTCCACCCCCGCCGTCAACGGCGCTCACTCCTAATCCTAACTGTTCCAGAGCCATTCAAACGGAATATTCCTTTTTCCTTTTTTGTTTTTTTCTCCGTTTCTGGTTGAAACGGGTTTAGACTTAACGGCGTTATGGTGCCAAGAACATCCCGTTACGTCCTTAGCGCCGGAGATTGGGGTAGAGAGAGAGAGAGAGCAAAAAAAATGAAGAGAGGTAGAATGATTATTTGATAGATAATGACTTTGTTTATGTATTTAATCACTTTTTTTTTTTTTTGGTTGAATTAGTTTAACTTGAAACTGTAGATAAATTGACCTTTAACACAGTCTTAGGGTTCATCTAGAAATAGATTATGTTGAATTTTTAAGGGCATACTAATCAGAGTAGACCCTAATCTTTTTAATTCCTTCTAGTCCAGTTAGGGATCACTACTTGCTTTTGATATGGCCATTTCCTGATTTTTTTTGACACATCACTATCATCACCTCATTTTCTACGGCCAAGATTTACTCTTAAAAGCTAAAAACTAAAACCCAATTTTAAAATAATCATAATGAGTACTATACAGTATATGTTAATGCAAGATATAATGTGATTAAATTGATAATATGATAGGTTGTGTGCTAATTGAGGGGAGGGGGCGTAGATTATGGCAATAAACGCGTCCTTTGGGGAATTCTATTGGTTATTTTATCTTCCAACTACCATAATCCATATGTGTTTTGGTCAATTCCTCCTACATTTCTTTTTGGGCTTTTCTACATTTTTGTCACCTTACGACAATGACAAATTTAAATGTGGTTTTTAACCTACTGGTTCATATATAGGAGCTCTTTGGGTTTTGGGGAATTCACGTGCGTGTTATAAGGTCTTTTTGGATAAACTGCTGTTGTAAATTGTAGGCATTTGGAACAGTACAGTCATATGATTATTAGCCAATGTAGCCAAGCCAACATCATTAAAAAGCAAATATGAACGACAGAAGCATGATAAAAAGTTTGGTTACAGAAAAGAGACAGAACAATATATATTCGCTTTAAGGGTTTGGAAAAAAAAGATCATCACTAGAAGATTAGAAATTAACGTTTGTAATGATGAGAATGAGAAAGAACCACTCTATAGAGCAAAGTTCTTTTTAGAGTATATGAAATACACCAAAGCAAAAAAAAATGGAGATGATGTATTTCATAGCTCTTAATATCGAAACATATACAAGAGGTGAAAAAATCTTGACTAAGTCAGATACTATTCATGTTTAGTACGCAGTAGTAGCTCTTAATGAAAAATTTTGCACTAGAGGGAACCCTTAAAACCCCTAAAGGGTAGATAATGAAATGATGCCCCTACCACTTACACACAAAAAAATAAAAATTCCTAAGCCTTTTTTTTCTTTCTTTCTTTCTAATCCATTGTTTACCACTCAAAGTCTTATCTCTAAAAATCGCATCATTCGTGTTTAATCATTATATTAAATGGCTATTAATGTTTGATTAATGTTTTATTATGCCCCCTCCCATCCCCTTAAAGCCACTTTTATTTTCTTCTCTACCCAAATGAAATTATCTTTTTGTTCTTTTGTACGTACCTATCCATACGTATCCGTTTCAATGAAACTCTTAGATTTTTCATTTTTCTATCTTTTTGTAAAACAATGGTACGCTACTTGCCCTAGCTAGACCTAGACACCAACAAAATTTCTTGGCAAAAAAAGTCACATGCCATATAAACCAATGAGCGTGGCCACATTTAAGGTTATTATATCATAATGCTTCCTAAAATTTAAAACAAATCGTATATAACGATAAAACATAAAGTGTATTCATTTGATTTAGCTGACCTTAGTGGAAACTGGATACTGTATAAAGTTTTTCTTCTTAAACTAATAACAAAAGCAACACTTTCTGGATATCATAATGATCGTAACTATAGTTATACTTTGTGTTTTGTGAAGTAGGTTGATTCTAATAGCAACAAACTTGTTTAGTCTCAATATACACACACATATATATATATATATATATACACATAAATGAGTTTTGATTTCAAATTAGTCAAATACGTACCAATATTCTCAAAACGAACGAGGTCTATATCCACAATATACAAATTACAATGAACTAGGTCTACATGTTTCCATATTCAATTGTCTGGTGGAACTCGAATATTCGTTTGGAACGATATGTGACCTTCCCATACATCCAACGGATACCAAATAGTAACAGTTGAGTAAACTAGCTGAACTGGGATCAATTAAAGAACAATAGATTTCAAAAGCATGCAAGCAAGGCTTATCATTGTTAAAAATCTCAGTACATCACAAAATACAAATAGGCAAATTACAAGGAGCTTTATAGACAAAAGCTCAAATCTCAAACCAGAAGATCGTGTAGAGATGAATGCCCAATAGCATCATCATCGTAAGAAGCTGTTGGGTGGGAAGTGCCTTAAAGGGTTCTGTCGCAGCAGCTCTGTTTCTCTGCAGTTATTTAAGGAAACATTGTCAGATACCACAAGTCATGATATAATATATGTTTGGTGAATCTAGAGAAGCCTTTTTGCTTACTTCTTTATCTCACGGCCATCATTAAGGGGCAGAGCGTTTGATGATGATGAGATGGTGTCATCACTCTTCTTCTTGTCTCCTCCCTCTCTGCATTTTTTTAATCAAGTTAATGATGGAAACATGTCTTACTCCAAAACATTCAAAAATTGCCAAACTTACTCTTTGGTGCATTCTTCTTCATCGACAAAAACCTCAAAGGTTGAAGCAGAGGCTGCTGCAGTTCTCACTATGGGTTTCTGAGGTACCTGTGAGGTTATTTTGTATGCAGTGAGTGATCAATTTATATAGATAATATAAACCAAGTGAGATTGTTTAGAATGGTAGGGTAGAGACAAAACCTTGAATGCTGCCCATTTTCTAGGTAAAGAATTGTTTTCTTTGTTCCTCTCTGCTCGGCCTCCAAGCATGAGCCAACTACCAAACTCTGGTTTTGACTTGTCTGACTCTGGTTGATTCCCTGATGTAGTGTCTGAAACTGCATCTGTGTAGATGGGAAAAGGCGTCTTGGATGAGCTGCAAAAGACAAAGGGATTACCATAGTGAGTTGCACACTAATCTAGAGCTTTGGTGAAGTTTAAATATGCCGAAAAGGTAATGAAAGCGAGAAATATAAAACAATCAAACTACTTACTGATTTGGCTTTAGTTTTTTGGCTTGTGGGTTAGAACTTCCTAACGCCTGCCTTCTTGCATCTGTAGAAACAGTCTCATGTAAGAGAGCTTATTCAAAACATTACAGTGATTTACAAAGTAAGGTTAATGTGACTCACTATTATCTCCCCTGGACAGTAAAGTGCCAAAGCTTCTTGACGGTAAGTCATTATTGTCCTTTGGTTCCTGTTGGTAGGTAGAACATTAATTATGATGTAGAAAAATCTTAGGACATGAATAGATAAACTACAAACAGAAAAAACTTCTTACTTCATCAGCTGTGTTGGACCTTCTCATCGTTCTCACCATGAATTTCTTATACGCATCATTCAACTTTTCCACTGGCTTAGCATTTCTGCAACAAGTTTCCACTTTTCAATTAGACCAATAACCTGGAGCAGAAACATGAAATCGTGATCACATTGGTAATAAAGATTACCTAGAGATTCCTTGATTGAAGATCTCATTAGCAGTTTTGACCTTATTCTTGAACTCCATGTGCAAAGCATGAGCTATATAGTAGACAGCATGTGTCTTTCCAATTTCATTGACATCCAAAAACTTGAATATCACTTCTGCATCAGCACAATGCTCCGCCTACAAAAAAAATTTTTTTTATGAGTACGCTCTTACTATAAAAGAACATCTTGAAAGAGCAATTAGGGGTTAAACAAAAGAGAACATTACATATTCCAACCAGACTTTGAGATAACGGAGATCATCCTTGTAACGCTCCGAGTGCCAAAACTTGCGAACACATTGCTCATATATCACCAATAGTCCCGAGCATTCACCTCCTGGTGGAAAAGCCTCCTGAACCCATTTAATACACCTTCAAAAGAAACCAATTAACAAGCTCAGATTTCCAAATTGGTACATCATAAAGACTGTTTCAAGAAACCCAACTAGCTGTTTCATTTCTTGAAGTCGGCACAAAAAGGTGCAATTTTTTCAACAACCCAATCAATAAAAGATAAAAGGAACTCACTCGATCCAGGGAAATAAAGGGTCATCACCATCGTACTCATCAATGGCTTCAATCAACTTCCTGATTCACCGAAACATCACAAATTAAGCAAGAATCGAGCGATTGAACTAAAACCCAAGATAAAAGATGTGAAATTGAAATAAGTACCGGCGTTTCTCGGCGAGATTCTTCCTCAACTGGTGGTCGGTGTGAGATTTGAGTGCGTGGTTGAGAATACCAACATTGCGTCCTCTCTTGAGAGGTCGGACATTCTCCTTGAAAAGCTCCCACTCACAACCAGTCTCCTGCTTCGAATTCAGAAACTCTGCTTCTGGATCTAAGATCTGAACCCTAGTTTCGGCGGCCATCGTTGTCTCTTCGCTGCACTTGGGGGAAAGTTTTTTGAAAATGCAATAGCCGTTAGTTACTCAATGAGAGAGCTTCACAAAGTAGTTTTGATTAATGAATGATATACGCACATTCGGAGCGTGTAGACGCTTTTTCTGAGCCTAACTTAAATGGGCCAGGATTTGAATAATTTTATTTATATAGCGGGCCATTTTCCCACCTTTTTTTGTCTAAACCCATTACAAAGTGGCAATCCTTGAATACCAAACCAAACAGAGAATTACTAAACCGAATCTTAAAATAAACCAAACTACACCCGAATTTCAGAAAACGAACCGTATAGCTGGAACTGATCAATTGATACATTCCAAAACTTTATAGACTAAAGAAAATAACACAATAATGCTGACCAATGTAGTATTTGCAATTTGATGTTTAATTTATTCTGAAATTATATAGTTTTGAAAGCCAAAAATAAAGAGAAGATGAATGCTTTATATTTTTTTAACCTTCTTTTGATTTACGAAGCATAATTTACTTTTGACTTAGAAGCAAAAAAACAGTTGCTCCACATAAAAAAAGATTCTCTCTGTCTGTGTCGGTACCACAAGGGATGATCACATACATTTCGTTACACGCTAACAACTTAAATGTACTCTATTTTGATTACCCACCAAACAAACAAAAAATGTACTCCAAGTTTAGGAAAAGTCTGTTTTCTGATTGGAACAATTTGATTGTAACAACTCCCACCGACAAATATATAATTAATCTCGTAAACCTGAAAACAGTTTTGATAGAACGAAAAATAAAATAGATAATAATTACTTGTATATATAATACACTATCATTCAGTTTGCGAATGTGACACACATGATCTCCTTTATTGACGTTTTAATTTTCGGCGGAAACAACAAAAAAAAGACAAGTCCTTTAAATGCATGTAAATCGTATTACGCATTCAATGTACACATTTTGCTTTGTTACTAAAAGACTAAAACTATAAGAAGCCTTGTGCCGTACGTTTACTGAAAATCCAATTAGAATAACATCATGTCTTATAATTAAATCAAGGTTACTGATTCTCTAACCATCACATAAAAAAGATACAGCACTTCTCTCCACCAATTATATAGTATTAAACCATTTCTTTTAATAAAAAAAAAGAAAAAGAACATCGTTGTATTCTTCTCTTTTCTTCACTATCCCACAATATATGACTGTTACAAACTCTTTTACTTACTTTTTTTTTTTTTTTTTGGCTTGGGAAATTCACAAAACACTTTAATTAACGAGCTCATCTTTACGTTGATTCGTCCTAAACTTACTCATTCGATTCTTGTAACCAACCACCCAAAAAAAGAGAAGAAGAAGAAGAGATCGAGTAAGCACCGTAACGCCAAGTTGGCACGGGTGGTATGGGTCCATGAGCTGTCAATTGAGAGGGAGCCAGCAATTTAATCAAACGATCCAACCTTTTTATACAAATAATAATAATAATACAAAAAATAAAAAAAACAAACAAGGCAATAATGTCGTTTTCGTAATTCATAAGAGATCCAAGCCTACTCTCTCTCTTATACCAACCTCCACCACATCACACAGTCACACACAGACACTACTCATATGTGAGCCAGCCACGAGTCCTCTCCCTCTCTTCCTTCTCATTCTACTACACGCCGTGTCGGCAAAGCCTCTCCTCGTTCCTTCTCTCTGACGCTTGTCGTCACACCTTTTTAAAATATTATTATAAAAAATAATTGAACCGAACCGAAACGGTGCGTTGTTAGACTCACCGGCGCCGGAAAACCATGAGGAAGGAGGTCTTACCGCCGGTTTTGTCAACCACCACTGTCTGCTTCGAGAAGAAACCATTAATTGCTACATTGCTAGCTCTCTCCCTCGTCATGATTATCTGGAACCTTCCTCCTTACTATCACAACCTCATCTCCACTGCTCGTCCCTGCTCCGCCGTCACCACCACCAACGTACTCTCCTCACCGAACTTCACCGCCTCTCTCTCGACGAATTTCACCACCTCACTCTCAACCACAACCGCAGCAGCTTCTCAGAAGTACGATTCCACTCCCTCAGATCCGAACAAGCGAGTTTTCCAACCTTTCGGTAACGCCGCGGCGCTTTTCGTACTAATGGGAGCTTACCGCGGCGGTCCAGCGACCTTCTCCGTTATCGGACTCGCCTCGAAGCCGATCCACGTCTTCGGGAAACCATGGTACAAGTGTGAGTGGATTTCTAACAATGGAACTTCGATTCGAGCTAAAGCACAGAAGATTCTACCAGATTGGGGCTACGGCCGAGTCTACACCGTCGTCGTCGTCAACTGCACTTTCAATTCTATCCCTAACTCCGATAACACCGGAGGTAAGCTCATCCTCAACGCTTACTACAACGAATCTCCCAAACTCTTCGAACGATTCACTACATTAGAGGAATCAGCCGGAGTCTACGACGAATCTAAATACTCGCCGCCGTATCAATACGATTACCTTTACTGTGGCTCGTCGCTGTACGGTAACGTGAGCGCTTCGCGTATGAGAGAGTGGATGGCTTACCACGCTTGGTTCTTTGGAGATAAATCGCATTTTGTTTTCCACGATGCTGGTGGTGTGTCCCCGGAAGTTAGGAAAGTTCTTGACCCGTGGATTCGAGCTGGGCGGGTTACGGTTCAAGATATTAGGGATCAGTCTCAGTATGATGGTTACTACTATAATCAGTTTCTCATTGTTAATGATTGCTTGCATCGGTATCGGCATGCTGCTAACTGGACCTTCTTCTTCGATGTCGATGAGTATATCTATTTGCCGCACGGCAACACGCTCGAATCTGTGCTCGACGAGTTCTCGGTTAATACACAGTTTACGATTGAGCAGAATCCAATGTCTAGTGTTCTTTGCTTAAACGACTCCTCTCAAGATTATCCTAGGTACTAATTTCAACCTCAAAAACCTTTTTATAATGCAATTTGGAATCGACAAGTTTAGTGATTAGGAATTTGGAATATTGTTGGATAGCTTATGAGCATTGTTCTGTCTTTAGAATAGATGATCCTAGAAAATGCAAAGATGTCAAATGTAACTATTAGGATCGAATCCGGAAGTTAGCTTTCACTTTGATTCAGTGCTCGTGGTGTTTGATGAAAAGAAACACACTTTCACTTATGATGGATGTTTCAAGCATGTCCTGTCTTTAGATTAGATGATACTATTAGAATATAATCGGGAACTTTGATCCAATTCTTTGGTATTTCTGCATATGAAGGTAACGAAAAGTAACAAACTTGTTTCTTACTTACAGGCAATGGGGATTTGAGAAGCTGCTATTTAAGGATTCAAGAAGGAATATACGCCGTGATAGGAAATATGCGATCCAAGCGAAGAACGCATTTGCCACAGGAGTTCACATGTCTGAAAACATAGTAGGCAAAACACTACACAAGACAGAGACGAAGATACGTTATTACCATTACCACAACACCATAACAGTGCATGAGGAGCTTTGCAGAGAAATGTTACCAAATTCAGCAAAGAAGAAAGTGACATTGTACAATAAGCTACCGTATGTGTACGACGACAACATGAAGAAGCTAGTGAAGACGATTAAAGAGTTTGAGCAGAAAAAACTTGGGACGGATGTGAAGAATTTCTCATGACCAAAGGATATAATAACTTAATCTTTTCTCTAATAAGCATTTTGTCTATAAAGGTATAGTTGTTTCTGTTTACTTGTATCCATTTTTCCTTCTGTTTTATCCTCTTTTACTATTTCATTAATGACTTTAATCAATAGTACTACAGTATTTTTTGAATTAGTTGTGTTTTCTTTTGTTCTGTATTAAACTTACTAGTATAAAAATAGAGTTACTCAGGTACCCAAAGATGACGAGTGACGGCGATGGTAGGGTTTTGGGTTCTAGTGTTCCCGACGTATCTATGGTGGACGCAGGGGAGAGGGTCCGACCGCCTGGGGATCCACCGGATGGACAGCGGGTTTGGGTGAATAATGTTATCGGTGGTGGGAGTGGTGGCCGACCGAATCCGGAAGATATTATTGATCATGAGTTTGTGAAGGAGAGAGTAAAGGTGGTGTTCCCAGATGGGGTGCATGGTGAACCTGTGGTCACGGTGGGGAAAGAATTATTGGAAGCTATGAATGGTTTGTGGAAGAACTGTATGGTGGTTAAGGTGCTGGGACGTAACATGTCTATCTCAGTTCTTAGCAAACGCCTACGTGAGATGTGGAAACCGAGAGGAGTTATGCACGTGGTGGATTTGCCTCGTCAGTTTTTTATGATTCGTTTTGAGCTTGTAGAAGAGTATTTGGCGGTGTTAACGGGCGGGCCGTGGAGAGCTTTTGGGAGTTATTTGATGGTGCAAGCATGGTCTCCGGAGTTTGATCCTATGCGGAATGAGATCGTAACAACACCGGTGTGGGTTAGGTTGTCTAATATTCCAGTTAACATGTATCATCGATCCATATTAATGGAAATAGCAACAGGTTTGGGGAAACCGATTAAGGTGGATATGGCGACTCTAAATTTCGATCGGGCTAGGTTTGCGAGGATATGTGTTGAGGTGAACCTTGCATATCCTTTGAAGGGAACGATCATGATAAATGCTGAGAGGTATTATGTGGCGTATGAAGGGCTTACGAATATTTGTTCGTTGTGCGGTTTGTACGGACACTTGGTGCATGCTTGCCCAGCTGGGAAACCAGTGATGCCGGTGACGGAGAAAGAGACGACGGCTACGGTGGTCCCCGGTGGGAGTGAAGGGGGAGATGGTTTTACAACGGTGAGGAAAACCGGGTATAGATCAACTTCACAGATGAGGAAAGTTTCCTTGGCGGCTGCAAAGTCAGGAAAGGAAACAGAAGGAAATCTGAGGGAGATCTCGGGGCAAAAGGAAAGTGCGAATATTGCGGTATCAAATAGTTTTGGTATGTTGGAGGATGGAGTTGTATCCCTGGAATCACGAGATGTAGTAATTACGTCGGGTGCAAATAAGGAGAATGAATATCCGTTGACGGTTGTGAGCAAGGAGCAGAACATGGGCCACGAAAGAGTGGGCTTGCAAGAGAAGGTCGTGTTTCAAGGCCTGCCGAGAGCAAATGATGACTCAAAAAATCGAAGGGTAAGTTTGGGGAAGCCTAATGGAAATGGTGGGCCGAAACCCAAACAAATTTCGAAATTCAAGGCCACTAGGGGGCTCGTGTTTGGACCAACGGGGAGAGGGGTGGAGCTATCTGAATCCGGTAAGCGGATGCGGGTGGAGATGGGGAGTGTGGGGCGTGAGTCCCAATTTGTGATGTCGGGAGGTGATGGAGACATGACGGAGTCGCCTGAGGGGAATGGAGTAGATGGTCTTGGGCCTGTTCGACCAGCTAAGGACAGAGCGTTGGAAATGCAGTTGGTCCCGCCGGAAGGAGTGGCGGACAAGTTAATGGCATAACAGTTTTCCCCGGCGGTTCGGTGGTTTTATGCTCAAGATATGACGAATATCATACTTTGGAATTGCCGGGGGGCAAATAAACCCAACTTTAGGCGGTCTATTCGATACATTTTAAAGAAGTATCCGACAGATGTTCTGGCGGTCTTTGAAACTCATGCGGGGGGAGACAGAGCTCAGCGGATTTGTCACGGTTTAGGTTTTGATAGTTCGTTTCGAGTGGATGCAGCGGGGCAGAGTGGTGGGCTCTGGCTCCTATGGAGGTCTAATGTGGGGGAGGTGGAGATTATGAGCTCTTCGGACCAGTTCATTCATGCGAGAGTGAAGCAAGGGGTAGAGTGCTTTCACTTGGTGGTGGTTTACGCAGCTCCTACAGTTAGTCGGAGGAGTGGTTTGTGGGCTAGCCTGAAAGCTGTGGTTACTAGTATTGATGGACCACTTATGATCGGTGGTGATTTTAATACAATAGTACGCATTGACGAGAGAGTTGGGGGTAATGGTCATCTGTCTCCGGACTCACTTGCGTTCGGAGAATGGATTAATGAGCTCGAGTTGATTGATATGGGTTTCCGAGGCCCTCAATTTACATGGCGGAGGGGTCGAGTCCAACGAACTTATGTGGCCAAGCGTCTTGACCGGGTTTTGTGTTGTGCCCACACAAGATTAAAGTGGCAAGAGGCTCGTGTTAGTCACTTACCGTTTTTGTCTTCTGATCATACTCCGCTTTATGTTCAAATGTCGCCAGGGGTGGAAGGGAATTCAAAACGAAGACCTTTCCGTTTTGAAGCTGCTTGGCTTCAACATCCGGGTTTTAAAGAGTTGCTTTTAAATTCTTGGAATGGCGAGTTGCGAACTCCAGATGCCTTGTATGGGTTGAGATTTACTTTGAAAAAATGGAATAGAGAGGTTTTTGGAGATATTCAGAGGAGAAAGGAGGCTTTCATGGAAGAAATCAAAGATATCCAAGATAAATTGGATATTTCCCAAACGGATGCTATGTTGGAACGGGAAGCTTTCTTGATTAAGGAGTTAGAAGTTGTACTTGAGCAAGAAGAAGTTCTCTGGTTTCAAAAAGCTCGAGAAAAGTGGATTACGCTTGGGGATCGTAATACGAAGTACTTCCATACTTCAACTATCATCAAATGAAGGAATAATAGGATTGAGTCGCTTAAGAATGAGTCGGGTATCTGGGTCTCGAATCCGTCGGAGTTGGAGCAGTTAGCTATAGATTACTACAAACGGTTATATTCTATGGATGATGTTGAACCGATTGTGGAGAGATTGCCTTCCGTGGGTTTTGAAAGGTTAACGCGGGACGAGACTTTGGAGCTTAACAGGCCATTTACGGCCCATGAGGTTGAATGTTCGGTACGGAGTATGGGGCGGTTTAAGGCTCCGGGACCTGACGGTTATCAACCGGTTTTCTATCAACATTCTTGGGATGTAGTGGGGAATTCAGTGGTGCAATTTGTTTTGGATTTCTTTGAAACAGGGTGTTTATCTCAAGGTATGAATGATGCGCTGGTGGTTCTCATTCCGAAGACTTTGAAACCGGAGAGAATAATGCAGTTTAGGCCGATTAGCCTATGTAATGTGTTGTTTAAAACAATTACAAAAGCTATGGTGATCAGACTTAAAGGAGTTATTTCAAAGCTTATAGGTCCGGCTCAAGCTAGTTTTATTCCGGGTCGCTTGAGCACAGACAACATTGTGGTGGTTCAAGAGGCAGTGCACTCTATGCGTATGAAGAAAGGTAGAAAAGGGTGGATGTTGTTGAAGCTTGATCTAGAGAAAGCTTATGATCGCATAAGGTGGGATTTCCTTGAGGATACTCTCAAAGCTGCAGGATTACCTGAAAAATGGATAGGGTGGATTATGACGTGCGTAACCGGACCTTCAATGAGCTTGCTGTGGAATGGGGATATGACCGAGCAGTTTATACCTCAGAGGAGTTTGAGACAAGGTGACCCGTTGTCGCCGTATTTGTTCGTTCTTTGTATGGAGAGATTATGTCATCAGATAGGGCTAGCAGTGGCGGTTAAGGATTGGAAGCCGATCTCTTTGTCGCGTGGTGGCCCTAAGCTATCTCATGTCTGCTTCGCGGATGATCTTATTCTGTTTGCCGAGGCGTCGGTGAGTCAGATAAGAGTAATAAGGAGAGTGCTAGAAAAGTTTTGTGCTTCTTCAGGTCAGAAAGTTAGCCTGGAAAAATCAAAAATTTTCTTCTCTGAGAATGTGAATAGGGAGCTGGCTAATTTGATAAGTGCTGAGAGTGGGATAAAAGCTACAAAGGAGTTGGGGAAGTATCTAGGCATGCCTCTCCTTCAGAAACGAATCAACAAGGATACTTTTAGTGACGTTGTTGAGAGGGTTTCGACGAGACTATCGGGGTGGAAGGGTCGTTTTTTGAGTATGGCGGGGAGATTGACTCTTACAAAGGCTGTTCTTTCGTCTATTCCTATTCACACAATGAGTACGATCGCATTGCCAAAGGTAACTTTGGACCGGTTGGAGCGGATGTCTCGGGATTTTTTGTGGGGCAGTACTATGGAAAAACGGAAACTTCACTTGGTTAGTTGGGATCGGGTTTGTAGTCCGAAGTATGATGGGGGTTTGGGCGTGAGAAACTCTCGATCAATGAATGTCGCCATGTTGGCGAAAGTGGGTTGGCGTTTAATGCATGACACTACTAGTTTATGGGCTCAGGTGCTGCGAAGTAAGTATAAGGTTGGTAATATTCATGATAGTACTTGGATTACTAAAAAGGGGCGTTGGTCGTCGACTTGGCGAAGTGTGATCACGGGGCTAAAGGAAGTGGTGATCCCATGGTCTAGTTGGGTCCTTGGGGATGGCAGGCAGGCTCGCTTTTGGACAGACAAGTGGCTCATGAATACTGCTTTGGTGAACGTGTGTATAAGGGATTTACCTAGGGGGTATGAGGAGGTCCGGGCGCGTGATATGTGGGTAGTGGGGCAAGGATGGGATCTTAGTCATATTTTACCTTATGTATCCGATAGGACTAGACTTCAACTCGCGGCTGTGGTTGTTGAAGATTTCACGGGCTCGAGAGATAGATTGTCTTGGAGTGAAACCTTGGATGGGAAGTTAACGGTGAAGTCGGCTTATAACTTTTTAACCCGGAATACTTGCCCTCGACAGATGATGGGAGGTTTGTTTGATCGGATATGGGGAGCCGTGATCCCGGAAAGGACTAAGGTGTTCCTCTGGCTGGTTGCAAACCGCGGTATTATGACAAATACAGAACGTTTACGTCGTCATCTTTGCGATACAAGTGTGTGTCAAGTGTGTAAAGGAGGCGAGGAAACTATTCTCCATGTTCTTCGTGACTGTCCTGCAATGGCGGGTTTATGGGGACGGTTAGTACTTCCACGACATGCGGGATCCTTTTTCTCAACATCTCTACTTGTTTGGTTGTATGAGAACTTAGGTGCGCGGGATGAAGCTTCAGGAACTTCATGGGCTACGGTTTTTGCTATGGCTGTGTGGTGGGGGTGGAAATGGCGCTGCGGAAACATCTTTGGCTCGAATGGGAGGTGCAAAGACCGAGTTCGGTTCATTAAAGAGGCTGCAAAGGAGGTCTATGACTCGCATCTGGTACTGACGGGACCAAATAGAGGGGCTGAGCGGGTTGAACGTTTGATTGGCTGGACTGCTCCTCCCGCGGGATGGATTAAACTTAACACGGACGGTGCCTCACGGGGTCACCTGGGGCTAGCGACAGCAGGAGGTTCTTTAAGGGACCATAATGGGGATTGGTGTGGAGGTTTTGCGGTAAATGTTGGGATTTGTTCTGCACCTATGGCTGAGATTTGGGGAGTGTACTATGGCTTGGTGATTGCTTGGGAACGTCAGTTTACTCGTGTGGAATTAGAGGTGGATTCGAAGGTGGTTGTCGGGTTTCTTACGACAGGGATTAGTGAGTCTCATCCGTTGTCATTCCTAGTACGTTTGTGCTATGGCTTCTTATCAAAGGATTGGATTGTCCGTATCTCTCACGTGTATAGGGAAGCTAACCGTCTCGCAGATGGGTTAGCAAACTATGCGTTTTCTTTATCTAAAGGTTTTTATCATTTTGATGTTAACCTGCCGGATGTGGCGTCGATTTTACACGAGGATGTGGTTGGTCCCCCTCGGCCAAGAAACGTTATTGTATAATTTTCTTTTATTTTAATAAAATTTAGGGAGGGCACTATCTCCCGTCTTTTTACCAAAAAAAAAAAAATAGAGTTACTCAGGTCAGTGGTCAGCTACGAAACATCGTTGGTTTTTCCCTTTTGTCACAAGACAATAATTGATTTAGCTAAAGGTTTTTAAAATCATTGATTCGTTCAATGATTCATTCGATGATAGTAACTAGTAGTCGGAACTCTATAAAATAACAGATGCTGTCTACTAAATATTAAAGCAATTATGTCAAAGGTGAGTCTTAGTATTAGACCTGGAAATTAGTTGTCACTGTGATTCAATTCTTAGGCAAGCCATATGTATAGATTCTAATGTTTCTGAATATAACATACAAGCTCCTAAATGGAGCAACAACTTGATTCTTTGTCCCTTCTGGTATGACTATGATTATACATGAAAGTGGTAAGATTCTACTTCTCACTTGAAGAAACTGAACTTTTTTCTGAAGTACAAAACATGCCAAGATCTAAATAAAGCGCTCTCTATCATATGCTCTTATTACTTTGTTTCACAATGTGGTACTTGTTTTATATCTTAACTTATATTTTTAGCCTTATCTAAAATCTAAATACTAGTTATTGACATTAAGAGCAAAAAATGAACTAGTTGCCAAGAGAGCCCGAATGAAGAAGGTCATGAGAAGGCTCCCAATCGATGGAGGAGGAGACGATCATCGAGAGCGTGGTTAGAACCTGAGCTACCAATGGGCGCGAGTTAATATCAGTTGCAACACAGCTCTTGGCAAGCTGAGCCATGGTGTAAGCCAGCTCTAACGGATACTCATTCCCTAGGGATGGATCCATGAACTCTTTTAACTTCTCTCTTACATTCTCTCCTCCAAGCACATTGTTTATCACTTTACACAACATCTCCACTTCTTCTTCTTCTTCTCCTCCTCCTTCCTTCTTCTTCTTGTTTATCGTCACTGCTTCTCTCCCTGAAAGAAGCTCAAGAACCACAACTCCAAAAGCAAACACGTCAAGTTTTGGAGTTATGACTCCGTTCTCCACATACTCTGGAGCTAAGTAGCCTTGAGTTCCTTCAACGTGCCTTGTTAACTGAAGATCAAGATCACCTTCATCGAGAATCCTCGCAACCCCGAAATTCGCAATCTTGGCTCTGAAATTAGAATCAAGAAGTACGTTTGTGGATTCCAAGTTCTTATGGACATGAGGTGGAGTAATGTAGTTATGAAGATAGTCTAATGCCTCTGCCACATCCCTTGCTATTTCAACTCTCTGTTTCCATGTCAGAGTCTTCTTATCCGATGAATGAAGCCAATCACTAATCGATCCGTTCTCCGAATACTCGAAGACAAGGTACGACGTCCCTTCACGGATACAGAAACCAGAGAGACGGATGATATTAGAATGATTCAGCTTCTTCAAGAGATTGATCTCGGAGGAAGAGACATCGCCTTTGATCACTTTCACAGCCGCATCGTCTCCGTTGATCGTAGCACGATAAACAGAGCCTTTGATTCTGTTTGCGTCGCTGAAATTGGAAGTAGCGGATTGAAGATCGTTGAACCTGTAAAGTGTTAACGATTCGATTGCGGATCTTAAACCAAAAGCTTCTGATGAAGTGGATAAATCAATAGACCATTGACTCGTTGTTGTAGGAAGAGATTGTTTGGTAGATGAATCAGTGAACTTGTTCAGGTCCGGCGGCGTCGACGTCGACAACGACGATGACTTCTTCTTAGACTTACGTTTGTAGAAGCAGAGAGCTAAGAATGAGATAAGGAGAAGCAAACCAGCTCCGATTCCAATTCCGATGTAAATACCTTTGTGAGAAGAAGAGGATCCCGGAGGATCAACGGGGGTTGTTTGAGGCGGCGTAGCAACAACAGGCGGTGGAGGAGGCGACGGAGATGCAACGATTTTGGTGGGTGGAGTTCTGAGAGGAACAAGAATCGGCGTGAAGAAGTAGATAGTGTCTGATGTAAGCTCGTTACCTTCGGTTATAGCGGCGGATGTGCTGTTGAACATATCGGCGATGACGGAGATACTATCTCCCATGGCGACTAAGTAAGTCAAGAGGTAATTAAATCCGGCGGCGGTTTGTTTCGCGGTGGGGCAAGCACATCGGAGAGGAACCAGGAGGTTTAAGCCGGGGGTTAGTTCTTTCTCGCCGTAACTGTTCTGTGACATCATGGCTTGACACGTGGATAAAGCTTGGTAAGTATCGTTAGCCACCGAGAAATAAGTCTCTTCTCCTCTGTTGCCGGAGAGATGGTAAGTGGCGTTGTGCTGGTAAAATCCTCCGGCGGAGGAGGAGGAGGAGCATGAGCAGTTAGCTGGGACGACGACTAATTGACGGGTGCGGATCGTGGTGGTGACGGTTGGGAGGTCGTTGATTGATTGGATCTCTGCGGCGGAGACATTTAGGAGTTTGGCGATTGAGTCGGCGGTGTTGTACGGTGGTTGAGACCAGAAAGTGAGGTAAGAGCGGCAAGAGGCTGGGCCGTTACAGGTGAAACCGTTGGTTATATTGTCGAAAGTTCGGACCTCGCAGGCGAGCTGGTGGTTGTTGACGTACGGTTGCTGAGCTGTCGACGGTGACGCGGCGAAGAGAAGGAGGAGGAGGAGTAATGTGGAGACTAAGAGCGCGTGGAGTGTACGCGCAGCCATGGTTGTGTTTTTGATTTGAAGAGGCGATCTTAAGCTTCTCCTGAATTTAACATAGGATGATCATTAGATTTAGACCAAAGGAGACGGCGGGGAACGTATTATTAGTCAACAGAAACGCGTCGTTGTGTTGACTTTTTCAGACGTTTTCTCATTGGTCGGAACTGTAATAAAATGAAACAAATTGACATATACAGTGGGAGAGAGGAGAAATTTGGTACGTCTTCATAATTATATAGCGTATTGACCGGGTCTGTCATTTTGTTTAGTACATAGTCTAGAGATGAAAATGAAACAAAAGTAATTGTATACTAAATGCCCTTAAGCAACATTGGATTTTTTTCATGGACTCAAATCAAAGCTGGTCTTGGATCTTCTGGTAAAGAGACAATACATCCTCTATAATCAATCACAAATACACTTTCTGATGTTTGAAGAAACCAAAACTTTAGAGCTGATGACTTATTAGCATGGGAAGCCAAAATTCCAAAATCAGCATCTTTGTTCTTTGGGAACTTTTTTTTTTTTTTTTTTTTTTTTTTTTGTAAATGGTGTTCCCGGTCACTTTTGTACTATATTCAGATTTGTGAAAAATATACACATTTAAGTAGAATTCTGTTTAGGATTTTATTTTACACAGTTTGGCGATCCGATCACAATTGGCTGCACAAGTTTTTGATGAATAGTAATTGGGTTACAGACTTACAGTCAGGGTTTACGTGAATTCTTCTTCGTTGAACTAAATGGCGTTGTTCCTTGGAAGGAAAGAGATTCATTTGGTTTCTGGTATGATAATGTTGGAAGCAGGTCTTACCTGGCACTACCATTTTCTCATCATTCTCCTATACGGAAGATATAATTCTAGAGGTTCGAGTTGAAAACTCTCCCATATTAAAGTTCATGGATTCCTAAAGGTTTACCAAAAAACTCGCAACACATAACACATATGGTTGTCACGGATACAAAGTCTAATATAGATGGACTTCATTAACACACAAGATAAGGACACTACAAGCATATTGCTTTGTAACATGCTTCAACTGCATAGAAGATATAAAAGCATGTTTCTCAAAGAAGATCATTCTCCGTTTGCAATCAAACTAAAGAACGGAACATTCTTTCCTAACATGCCACAAACATAATCGCCCATCGTTGTGGCATAACACAATCATAGTAGAACATACCAACTACAGAATAATTGCAAGGACCTGAAAAGATGTAATCCGATACACCTTCACCGATGTAAAAGGGTAAACAAGGATTTCAACTACAACGTGTATAAGATTTCCAGTACCGGTTTCACAGAAGGAAATCTAAACGGGCAAACTACAATAGTTAACAGTCATAAAACCCACTGGAGCCAAACTGAACAGAGTAAAAGGGTAATGTATAAAAAAGTATTGAGAATCAAAACGAAGTATCAGATCCGTTATAAACCTCACTCAATGGTCAATGCATATAAAATCCTTCACAGATGGTTGGGTAACAAAAAAAAGTTTCCATCTTTTATTCGTTGTAAGTGACAACTACTATAGTGTCTATACATGATCTTCAGCTATATGAAACCTGACAAAAAACTGTAGAAGCTAACTTACAACCAGATGTTCAAACTTACAGAAAATTTCAATCCTGTGGCTTATCAGTTCTGTTCTTGTTTCCATAGATCAAACCAGTAACCTGCAGATATAATAGCATACAAAAACCATTGGTATTCAAAACTATACATCCTAATAAAAAAATCGCAAAATGACGAATGTTATACCTGAGGATCAGCAATTGGTTTCCTCTTCTCAACGTATTGATTCGGATCCGCCATTGCTGCAAGAGCTGCCCTAGCCTAATCAGACAAGAGACAACCCAGAAATGTAAATTTGAGATTCCATTCCATACACGATTCCATAGACAAGCACAAAGTTTGGGATGTGAAATGAAGAATTGGTACCTCTTGTTCTTTTTTGAGATCTTGAGCTGGCTTAATCCAGAGAAAGTAAGCAATAGTTCCGGCGACGACCCAAGAAGCGGCACTCTGGCCACCTCTGAGACCACCCATGGAATTACCGATGAACGACCTCACGTTCCCAATTGATCTTCTCCAGCTGCTAGCCATTTTGATTGATGCTGCCTCAATACCACTGGGTCTCTTCTAAGGACTACGGATCTCTTCTCCGAGGATTGATTACTTGACTTCTGATGATTCTTTGATATGGAATTGAACAAGTAAAAGTAAAAGCAGGCGATTTGATTTTGATTCGCATTTGCTTGGTGAACACTGCCAAAAGCTAAACCGGTCGCCGAGACGGTTAATTCTGTTTTTGTTTCTGATTGACACATCATGCGGTTGTTGTTTCTCCACGTAGCATTTAGGAGATCCGATCAAAATATATTATGGGCCGGACATAATTGTTAACACTCAGTAATAGTTGGCCCATGGACTTTGAACATAAGATAGGAGTCAACTGAGCATAGTGTTATCTTTGACTTTCGATTACATCAAACTTACTAATTTTGTTGTTGCAGATATAATAAAATAGTCAAAGAAAGGATATGAAGGATGTGAAACTGAGAGATGGAGAGGGGAGGCAATGGTCATTGGTCAAACAGGTGCCACTTGGACAAAAGAAGAAGAAAAATCGAAATCCATCTCTTAGTCCATTTAAATAAGAATCTATCTGCTCGTTTACTCTCTCGGTACTATCAAGAGATCGGAAATGGCGGCTGTTCAGAGAGGAAAGGTTTGTGTAACCGGTGCCGGAGGTTTTCTGGGTTCGTGGGTCGTCGATCTTCTCCTTTCTAAGGATTACTTCGTCCATGGCACTGTCAGAGACCCTGGTACTCATCCTCCTCCTCTCCTTTTCCTCTATCCCTCTTTTTAAAGTTTCCACCTTTTTGCTACCTCACTCACCCATCTCATATGTTTGATCGGGATATTATTAGCTCACCTGTGTATTCATGCAATTTTCATCTACTTACTAGGGTTTTAGCTTAGATTCGCTAGTTTTTGTTCTGTTTACGGATATAAAGTTTTAGCCTTTTGAGTTTGTTTGTTGTTGTTCCCAAATCATTTAGTTGCTTCTCTTCTTTTTAGTGTTGTTGTTCTGATGAAGAGTTTTATCCATGGTTCTTGATATAGATAATGAGAAGTATGCTCATCTGAAGAAGCTTGAAAAAGCTGGTGACAAACTCAAGCTCTTCAAGGCTGATTTGCTGGACTACGGGTCTCTTCAATCCGCTATTGCAGGCTGCACTGGTGTCTTCCATGTTGCATGTCCGGTTCCACCATCTTCAGTCCCAAATCCTGAGGTGAGGATTTCATTCCTAACTATCTAATTGGCTATATGTTACATTGTATCACTCTGCTTCGACTGGTTTTGCAGGTGGAATTGATCGCACCCGCAGTGGATGGCACACTTAATGTGCTTAAGGCATGTATTGAAGCAAATGTTAAGCGTGTTGTGTATGTGTCCTCTGTAGCTGCACTTTTCATGAACCCGTTGTGGTCAAAGAATCAAGTATTAGATGAGACCTGTTGGTCTGATCAGGAGTTTTGCAAAAAAACTGAGGTTTATGCATATTGAATCCCTTATCTGACTTTTTAAATTTCACCCTTTTTTTCTTCTTTCAAATCTGACTTTAGTCCCTCTGGCAGAATTGGTATTGTCTGTCAAAGACACGAGCAGAAAGTGAAGCTTTTGCATTTGCAAAACAAACCGGACTTGATCTTGTCAGTGTTTGCCCAACCCTTGTCTTGGGACCTATACTGCAGCAGCACACAGTAAATGCTAGTAGTCTGGTTCTTCTCAAGCTTCTTAAAGGTATAAACAAGCCTCTTCACATATGGGATTGTTAGAAGCAACTTGGTATATGAGTTTGTCTTGATTTTTACTTTTTACTTGAGTGTGTTGCAGAGGGTTTTGAATCACGTGATAACCAAGAACGACATTTGGTAGATGTGCGTGATGTGGCTCAAGCTTTACTCTTGGTTTATGAGAAAGCAGAAGCTGAAGGAAGATACATCTGCATATCCCACACGATTAAAGAACAAGAAGTTGTTGAGAAGCTGAAGAATCTTTATCCAAATTACAACTATCCAAAGAAGTAAGCAAACAATATCCCATCTCTCAGCTCGATTAGTAACACTAATAATACCATCCTTGACAATTTGACTAAAATCCATTAAGCCTTATAAACTGTTTTTTTACTTTCATTAGTAAACAATGTCACATTTCGTTTAGATCAGTGTCTGAAGTCTCTTAAGACTTTAATTCTGATCGAAGCTCTACTTATCCAATGATAGATACATCGAAGCGGAAGAAAGGGTGAAGGTGAGTTCAGAGAAATTGCAGAAGTTGGGGTGGACTTACCGTCCTTTGGAGGAAACACTTGCGGATTCTGTAGAGAGCTACCGGAAAGCTAAGCTTGTCGACTAAAAACTTGGAAAGAAGAACAAAAACAAAGTGTTTTGGTCATGTTTATTGCTCCATGTGTTAAGTGTCCTCATCTGCAATGCACACAACACTCTCTCATCTTCTACTCCAATAATAAGAGTTGAGCACACATAGTACTTTTGTGTACTTATCTACAAATTAAGTTACTTTCCAGTTTCAGAGTATCAAACAAAAATTTAGTTTCCACTTTTCAGTTTTGCTCTGTTAATGAATTGTTACATTTATACAAGAGTATGAATTGCTAATATGTTAAGTTTCCAAACAAGTGAATTAAACCCGTCTGGTTTACTATTAAATGAACAAACAAGTAAACCAACATATTCTAACCGGAGTATAAAAGTGTACTGTGCTTGGACCGGACTCGGATCTGGACATTGATCAGAACCGGACCGAGACTCGTTTTGCGCCGCTCGGTAAACTAGATATAAATTTTTTTTTCTATTTCCTACTCCGGCGAAGCTGCGTTAGTTGAACTGAGCCATGGCCACGAAAGCTTCCGATTCCGGTGGATCTGGGGAAAATCTCCCGAATACTTCCTCTCTATCCGAAACCACGTCCGGAGTCACCGCTTCGCAATTGACTCAACCGCCGTCTTCGTCTTCCGAAATCGATACAATCTACGTACCTAGCTACTCCCGTAAGTCTGCGCAAACCCCGGGAAACCTTGGTTTTAATAATGATATTGTACTCCCACTGTTTCTTATGGATATTGTACCTATTAGGATGGTTTTCGTCGACTGGCATCGACGAATGCGAGGTCCGGTCACTGCCGGAGTTCTTCAATTCGAGGTCGTCTTCCAAAAACCCTAAGTTTTACCTTTACTTGAGGAACTCAATCATCAAGCAGTATAGAGATGACCATCCTCGGAAGATTAGCTTCACTGACGTACGGAGAACTCTTGTCAGTGATGTTGTCTCTATTCGTCGCGTCTTTGATTTCCTTGACTCTTGGGGGCTTATCAACTATTCTAGCTCCTCCTCCGCTAAGCCACTCAAGTGGGACGACAAGGAAGCTGTAAAATCCGCAGGAGATGCTGCTTCTGAGCCTCCCACAACTGTCAAAGAAACAGCCAAGAGAATCTGTAATGGCTGCAAATCAATTTGCAGTATAGCTTGTTTCGTCTGTGATAAGGTTTGATATCGTTTTCCTCCCCAACCATTGATGTAGTCATATATTTTGTACTGAGTTTTGTCACTTGTATGATTAGTGCTACTAGGAATATGCCAATAGCAAAGTATACATTTTTCTTTTCAGTATGACTTGACATTGTGTGCGAGGTGTTATGTCCGTGGTAACTATCGCGTTGGTATTAACTCGTCGGAATTTAAGCGTGTTGAGATTAGTGAGGAGTCAAAGTCAAAGTGGTCCGAAAAGGAAATTCTGCAGCTGCTGGAAGCTGTTATGCACTATGGAGATGACTGGAAGAAGGTTGCACCTTATGTTACTGGTAGAACCGAGAAGGATTGTGTTTCGCAGTTTGTCAAGCTTCCGTTTGGAGAACAGTTTGTAAAAGAGTCTGACTCTGAGGATGCTTCAGAGGCGTTTGATCAGATCAAGGGCTCTGCTGATCTTGAATCTGGAGGAAGTGATAAGGACGGTTCTTCTCCCAATAAGCGGATGAGATTGACACCTCTTGCAGATGCAAGCAACCCAATCATGGCTCAGGTTCGAAATTCACTATAATCTGACTCTGTGTTCTCTCTCTATCTAGGTTAATATATTTGTGTCAAGTATTCAACATGAATGAGTACAACTGTACAACCAACATTTTATAATAATTTAGTCAACTGTGTTGTTAGGCTGCTGAAGAATATTTCAGTGTCTGCACTCTGCACTGAGCTGTTTCATGACTTGCATAAATGTCTTTTGAAAGGCTCTAACGTTAGAATACATTGTGGGCCTTCCTTTGAAAAATTGAACTCTAGTATTATCGAATTCTAGGTGACATATATAAGGGCAGTCAGGAATTGTATACGTATTAGATTATATCGTACTGTGTTGTATAACATCTCAATTGTTATGCTCCATTATTTTACTCTGAATGAGATTCTTTATACCTTGTCGTCTCCAGGCTGCTTTTCTTTCAGCCTTGGCTGGCACAAAAGTTGCAGAAGCAGCAGCTCGAGCGGCAGTGACAGCTTTATCTAATGAAGACTACGAGGTTGAAATAAATGCCAGTGGAGACCCAAATCGACAAGGTATCAAAGACCAAGCTGGCTCTATTTGCAGTTCGTTTCTGCCCCAAGCTAAATCCACTAGTGACATTTTTTTTTTCCTTCATACACAGAGGCCAATGCTGCATCGGGTGGTGAAAGCACTAGAAATGACTCAGAAAGAGCTTGGGCTGATGCGAAATATCTGATCCAGAAGGAAGAGCAAGAGGTAGAAGGAGCCATCAAAGAGGTTGTAGAAGTGGAGGTAAGTAACAATCTCCAAGTTCCCGTAAACTATTTTGTGTGTGTGTGGTTGTTATCCTTGTTTTTGACTGATGTTGGGGAAAACAAAATTGGGGTTGACAGATGAAGAAGATTCGAGATAGGATTGTACATTTCGAGAAACTGGATTTAGAAATGGAGAGAAGCCGGAAACAATTGGAGGAGATGAAGAATCTGCTTTTCACTGATCAATTAAACATTTTCTTCCACACAAGAAAGGCCCGGAAATCTGAAGATAGAGTAGAGTGTTAGAACTTACTTTAAATTCGAAACTGTTATATTTCTTCTTCGATTCTTTCCCTGTTATGAAGATGACTCTGTATTGTAGTTTACTTCAGATGTTTGTGGTAACCAAATGAGATGATATCGAATTTCTGGTATTAAAGGTGTATGCCTGTATAGTTTCGAAGTCAAACCGAATTTGAAACTCCAGCGAAGTGATTAAGATGGTGAACCAGAGATGAAGAAATGAATTTTTAACTCATTCTATACGTTTTAAATCATCACTAAATAGAAGAAAATTTATCCATCAACCTTTTGACATTTTCTAAAATTTATCATTTTTATTCAACTTAAAATGTTAATATGACACCACATGGGAAAACAAAACTTGTGTACTTTCTCATATTTAACAAGCTGATCAAAACGTATAATACCACTATAAGAGATACAACTTTATATCAAAAAGTATGAATAATCTCAAAATCTTTTAACTTCGATAAAAAAAAATTGATCATTCTGTATGGTTATAAATCATAACAAGTAAATATGCATAATCCGTCATGATGACCACATTAGTCATCATGATCGCTAAATAAACACTTCAAAAACCATTAAAAGGTTTCAGCTTAGTATAAAGCGAGGATAGACGCAAACCCTTCAACTACACATTAATTAAAATAAAATATCGTTCGTAAATAAAAATCTCCAAAAATAACAATCTAAAATCTCCTATTATTATTACGATGTAAAGTGCTTTGCTTAACGTTAAAAATTACATTTACGTAAATTACACGTTTATAGTATATATTTTTTCTTAGTTAAAAACCAAAAATCTTTTACGACTAGCAACTTATAACAACAAAATCCTGCTTTTCAACTAACTTTTATATATATATTATAAAAGCTAATTTTTATATATTTTGCGTGTCAATAATATATGTCTCTAATATCTAGCGTGGAAAGTAGTATATATTTCTGCATCAATAAAATTTTCGGGTCATTAATATGTATGGTTCACAATATCATTGGATAGCTAAATTTTTTTGTTTATTTTTTGCGTAATGATATATATTATGTCTCTTATTTTTTTTTTCACAATATTATGTCTCTTATAAAATATTAATTTTTAATGTGAATTGGAAAAGGAGTAGAAACTTTTTGGGTGAAAGATACTGTTGCTAAATAATTAGATTTTTTTTTGTAAAAATGAAAAAATGAAATAAAGAAAGAAAGTGAAAATAATAATTATTAGATTTTTCCCAAAATTACATTTTAGGTCACTTGATCTGCTGTATATATAGATGATTTTCTAGTCTTAATAAAATAATAAAAACCCTACAAAAAAATTGTAGGCGGACATATAGAGAGAGAGAAAGAGAGATCCCCTTTGGCTCTTTGAGTCTTTGTCTTTTTGTCTCTTTTTATCTTTTTTTTTTTCTCTCCTCAGTTATCTCGTAAGTTTTCTCTCTCTCTCTCTCTCTCTCATTCAATTTTTTTTTTTAATGTAATTTTCGAGAATTTCTGTTTGAGTTTTCTGAGGAAAAAAGAATAAAATTCTTCTGTAAATGTTTAATATTTAAAAAAGTGTTTTGGGTTTAATTTAGTATAATTGTAGCATCTTAATCTAAAATCACAGAAGCCTCCATAAAGCGCGATCCGCTTTCTCAATGGCTTGTGAGTGAGTGAGAGAGTGTGTGAAAGAGAGAGAGAGAGAGAGATCTAAAAATCCTCAATTGTTACAATTTTGGAGTTAAATACTGAATCTTTGGACTAGTTTGAATAGATTTAGGGCTTAAAGTTTCGAACTTTTTCCCTTGGATATGGTACAAAATCTTCTAGTTAGTTAAAAAAACACTGAATTGTCCCCTCTCTGGCGTTTGTTGTTTAGATTTAGGGCTTAAAAGTTTCAAACTTCAATGGAAACTAGGGTTTTGTGGTTTTGGTTAATGTTCTGCTAAGTGCTAACAGCTCTCCCCTGTTTTTGTTATTGGGAAAAAAGTGAGAGGGAAATGGCAGGGAGTGGAGATTCACCAATGCAGTTCACTATGGGTCTTCATCAGCAGCAGCAACACAGCCAAGCTCCCCCGCAGCAGTCTCAGAACATGCAATTGTCATTCGGGGACGACGATGGAAATGCTCTGTACAAGCAGCCGATGAGGTCAGCATCACCACCGCAGCAGTACCAACAACCAGGTGAGAATCCTGTCCTGACCATGAACATGAACATGAACATGCCCGGAGGTGAGCCTGGAGTCATGGCCGGAAGTGAGCCAGTGAAGAAGAGGAGAGGTAGGCCGAGGAAGTATGGACCTGAGAGTGGTGAAATGTCACTTGGTTTGGTTCCCGGAGCTCCTTCTTTCACGGTGAGCCAGCCTAGCAACAGCAGCGGCGGCGGAGGAGAGAAGAAGATGAGAGGAAGACCTCCTGGCTCTGGCAATAAGCACAAGCTTCAAGCTTTGGGTATGTATTTATATATATATATATATATATATATATCATTAATTTGATTCTTCTGATATTGGAATCTTGTCTCCCTCACGTGCTGCAATTAGAAAGTTCTGTGTTGGCTGCAATCTATTAGAATATAGTAAAAATGGTAGTAATACAATGACCTTGTGAATCCCCGCCATTACAAATAGAAATTTATGCCCTTTTAAGCGTGTCTTCTTCAACCATTCTTTGCTCTTTAAATCCTCCACCAATCTTGACATCTATTTATTCTTGTTTCAGGCTCCACAGGAATGGGATTTACGCCTCATGTACTTACCGTGAGGACTGGAGAGGTCTCTATCTTGTTGAATTTCCTTACTTAACTGTTATGATGTCTAAGATTGTCGAAGCTTATCTTTCTAGTAAAACGATCACCAACGTCTCTAAATCTTGTGAATGTGGAGTGCTGAGTTGTTGTCTTTTAATGTCAATCATTATTTGGTCACAAGCGAATGTTGTTCAGGGTTCTCTTACCTGTTTTGTTGTGCTGACATTTTTAGGTCCATTTGTTTTTGTATATTTATGATTTCTACTGTTTGATCTATGGGACAGGATGTATCATCAAAGATAATGGCGTTAACTCAGAACGGGCCACGTGCTGTGTGTGTCTTGTCTGCAAATGGAGCCATCTCCAATGTGACTCTTCGCCAGTCTGCTACATCTGGTGGAACCGTTACATATGAGGTATCAAGATTCAGCTTGCAAAGTTCTTCAATCCCTTTTTTTCTTGTCTCTGAAGTTTTACTGCTTAAGCCTAGTGATTTGTATAACATTGAAAACCAGGGGAGATTTGAGATTCTGTCTATATCGGGATCGTTCCATTTGCTGGAGAACAATGGCCACAGAAGCAGGACCGGAGGTCTAAGCGTGTCCTTATCAAGTACGGATGGTAATGTCCTAGGTGGTTGTGTTGCTGGTCTTCTTATTGCAGCATCACCTGTTCAGGTGATTTCTGCCTTCTTCCAATTGAAATATCTGATATATGGATGTCCATAAGTTCAATTTAAGGACACATTTGGCTTTCAAATTACAGATTGTTGTTGGGAGTTTTATCCCAGACGGACAAAAAGAATCGAGACAACATGTGGGACAAATAAATCTATCGCCACCCACATTACCGCGTGAAGCTCCAACGCAGGTGCTGATGACTCCGAGTAGCCCGCAATCTCGAGGCGCAATGAGTGAGTCATCTTGTGGAGGAGGACATGCAAGCCCTATTCATCAGAGCACAGGAGGACCGTACAATAGCACCAACCTTCCCATGTCCTGGAAGTAGCCAAGTGTCTCGATCTGTCTTAAATCAACAACTTCCTATTATTGAAATGATGAATTGAAATGATGATGATTGCTATCTCTTTAGGTTTTCTAATTGTCTGTTCAGACAAGTGTGATAACTTGCCTATTCTGTGTTTCGATGTACTTTCAGAACCATTAAGTTGTTCAGAGATTAGAATATCCTGATTAATGTAGATCTTTTATTTTGTGTTTTTAAATCTTGAAAACATTTAAGCTTATATTGATTACAATATCAAAACAAGACTGGTTTTAACTATGGTGCTCTTTGGCTCTCTTCAATAAAAACCGCATTGAGAAAAACCCAAGAGCGCAGGTTTGCCAGAACCACCCCACTGCATTTCCTGGGTCGACTCGTTTAGCCAGAAACCACGCATAGATTCCTTCTGCAACATGTAATCCCACTGATACGATGAAGACAACCCTTACAACAGTGATCGTCCGCAAGAAATAGAGGTGTAGGGCTCTTAAGAAAGGCACAGGTCCTATGTCGGGTAACCATCCAGAAGCAAACAGAGCTAACATTCCTAGTGTAACAGCTATCCAAGTGAATAGGGTTGGACCGTCTAAAGATCTCCGTTTCTTTTCCTGCCAGTATGAGATAGTTGCAGCCATACCTTCCCTGGAGCTCTTGAATGGAACATATCCAAGCTCTTCCTTGGCTTTGAGATATGAGAAATAGTGGGTAACACCAACCTGCACCAGATCAAAAGATTTATACAAATTGGCTTGGATCTAAGCCAGAATATGAGTGGGAAGAAACTGTTACCTTGTAGACTTCAGCAGGAAGGATAAGGGGCTGTGGTAACCAGCTCTTTGATAGCCATGGATATAGGACAGTGTAGAAACCTTGGAAAAACTTACCCAAGGACAGCGCAAAAGGTACAGAAATTGTAAGCTTGGGTAGGTCATAGTCTAAACTTCTTAGTAAGGGGCGTAGAAACTCAAAGGTATTCACTGGGGAACCTACAACGTCACAATTCAGCTTGATTTAGCAAGCAAGTTTCAAGGCTAAATGTTTAGATAAGGCTCTCGTCTTGAGAGTGTCTTAAGAGATGAGTTACCATCAGAGACAAAATATGGTTGACCAGCAGCAACGGGCTGTCCTTCTCTGCCAGGAATGTCGTCCAAGAGCCCCATGCTTGCCAGGATGATTGCTAGGACAAGGTTTTCAACGTAAATCCAGTCTGTTTTGACACTCGGTCCACCAATCTTGAAGAAGGCCAAACCCAACTTTGCTAGATTAACTATCCTAGGAAGATGCCTGTCTTCGCCAGGTCCATATATAGCGGCTGGACGGATTGCACATGTGTACACCTGCTTTCCCCCATTCCTACAAAAACACATGCAGAAGCAAAATTACGACGCTACCTAATAATAGACACGAGATTCTAAGGTAACTGAATCAAGAAGAGGTCTTACTTAAAAGGTCGGCCGTTACTCTTAAGGACCAACTGTTCTGCAATCGATTTACTTCGACCATAGGCATCGACATGATCATCAAGAGGGAAATACGGCAAACCTTCATTGCCATTCTGAATCTCCTTACCACCAAAGACAACATTGTAAGTGCTGACATAGACAAGTCTAGTGATCTCATGTTTGAACACAGCTTCCAAGACATTACAAGTCCCATTAATGTTAACCTCATCACAACGCCCAAACTGAAGCATCTCTTTACCAGACATACCATAGGAAGCAAGATGCAAAACACAGTCAGCGCCATCTAAAGCCTTATCAACATCTACTTTCTTAGTCACATCACCTGTTTCATCAATCATCATTACTCCAAATGTTCAGTATAAATCCAGAAATCGATAAGAGTCTGATCTAATAGCACTAAATCAAAGGATTGAGATTTAAGAAAGTAAAGATCAAATTGAAAGCTCGATAAAAGGGGATCGATGAAATTAGAACCTTGGATGCAGAGAACGCCACTGTTTCTGAGATCATCGGACCAAGGAGAAGAATCGCGGAGGTCGAAAGAGCGGACTTGGCGAGCACCACGGCGAACGAGCTCTAAGCAGAGGGCGGCACCGACGAAGCCAAGACCCCCAGTGACCACGAAGGTGTTGCCTTCGACACCTTCGTTCTCACTCAAATGCATTTTTCTCCAAGTTGACCGGCAACGAGGAGAACGACACCGCGCGTCTGACTACTTCTTCTACTTCTCTCACACAGCTAATGCCTGGCCACGTGTACTTTAAAGTTTTAATAATACCCCAATGCAAACAAAAATGCATGTTGGGTCTTTGAAAGAGTTCGAATCATTTTGATAATAAGAAGTTCGAACTCTTTTACCGAGCAGGTCTACGGTTCGAGTCCGTATAGCCCTAACTAAGAAAAAATTAACAAAAACTATTTTAGCGGACCAGTTACGTTTCCCATCTCTACAACATAAGCCTTTTCTTTTCAAAAGCAGAGTATTGAACGTGTGATATCTAAGCAAGATATGTATATCGTTTAAGCAGAGAATTTGAATTTCTCAGGCACATCACTGTGCAAGCCTTATAAAGGCGGATCCAGGCAGAAATTGAAGTTTGTACTAGCTTCTTTTTTTTTATGACATTTACTCTCTTCTATCAAACTTTCAGATCAATTTAGTCCCGTAAGATATATAAGAGTTTTTAACAGACAATTGAGTCTCCGATCTTTATAACATCTTTAGAACACTGAATAGTCTTTAGACCTTAAAACAGACATACACTTGAGTTTCTTAACTCTGATGCTATTAGACAAGCTTTGTTTTAGATGACATTTACTCTCCCATCAATATGCATATTTAGAAAGAGTTTTTTTTGGCAGATGTTTGAATTCTGATCTCTAGAAGAGACAATCCTTATTTTCTCATTTGAGCAGAACATTTAATGTATCATCATGTTGTCCCAGCCACATCAATCGAGATTCCATTCTTTGAACATTGTTAAACACAAGTCCTTTTAGAGAACATTTTATTCTTATCATATATCTCAGTGAGATGTAAATAGTTTGAGCAGATAGCTGAATTTATCAGGACATCGTTGTCCAAGCTTTAATGAAGGCTGATGATATATGCAGAAATTGAAGTTTTATCTATAGAGAGCATAATACTAAATGTAAAATGTTGTCCCATCCAACAAGATATCATTAAACGAACAATCGAGATTCCAATACGCAAGAGTTCTTTTTAGTAGACAGTTGTGTTTTCATTCTCTGGAAGAGACAAATATTTTTTCTCCATGTAAGCAGAACAATGTTTTCTTTCTCCCAAGCCAACAAGCTGCAGGCAATTGTTTCCCATTCATAACAGCTTTATTAGATGACACTTACTCTTCCATCAATGTGCATTTTAGGATAGAGTTAAGCACACAACTGAGTTTTTTTTTTTTTAATCTCTAGTAGAGACGAGCCTTCTTTAAACGGACACAAAGTTTTGATCTCTAGTAGAGACTAACCTTCTTTAAAGGGACACAACTGAGTTAGCATGCTGTCCCAGCCACAACAAACAACCATCATCAAACGGACAATTGAGATCCCAATCTTAGCACACCATTAAACCTACACAAGTCCTCCTTTTAAACAACATTTTTCATTCTCCTTCAGTTTGCAGAATATTGAATATTGTAAAAGCCTTAACAAAGACTGATATATGCAGAAATTGAAGTTTTCTTTATATGACTGTTATCATGCTGTCCCAGCTTCAACAAAGTATCTTATATCGTACCTTTGAGATTCCAATATTAGAACAAGCATGATCTTATCAGTTTTTTTCTTTCTATAGTAGCAGAGTATTGAATGTTATCACGCTGTCCCAGCTCCAGCAAAATATCTTGTAAGCCATTACACAAGTCTTATAAAAGGACTTTTATTCTCCATAAGTTTGAAGAATATTGAATTGTATAGTTTAAGCAGTTGCTCATTAATTGTATAATTTAAGCAGAGATTGAAGTTTCTGTCTGCTAAAGGACTTTATCATCCATCAATTTGCAGAATATTAACTGATCTTAGTAGAGATTGAAGTATTCTCTATGTTCACATGCTGTCCCAGCTGCAACAATAAACCTTCTAATCGGACAATTGAGCTTTTTCCCTTATTAGATAACCGTTAAAGAAGCCTTATTAAAAGACTTTTATTCTCCATCAAATTTGCAAAGTATTGAATGGTACCGTTTAAGCAGAGGATTGAATTTCTCAGGACTTCGTTGTCCATATAGGTTCTGAATGTTTCTTAATATTAACAAATGACCAATTACAAGAATATATAGTACAGAGGAGACATAGGGTAAAAAGTATTTACAAGATAATCCCTATATTCTATTTACTTAACCATATCCTTCTATACGCCCCCTCAAGATGGAGGGAGCTGGATTACTCCAATCTTGGAACATGCTTGCTGAAACTGCCCTCTCGGAAGTGGTTTGGTAAGTGTATCAGCCAACTGGTCGTGTGTAGATACATGAGAAACCCGTAACATGTTGGACTGAATCTGATTCCTAACAAAATAATAGTCAAGAGCAATATGCTTCATACGTGAGTGGAAGACAGGATTCGCACAAAGATACGTAGCGCCAACGTTATCACAATATATCACTGGAGTAGAAGGTAGGTTCAAGCGTAGTTCAGTGTATAAAGAACATAACCATCTCACCTCCGCAGCTGTATTCGCAACAGCCCGATATTCAGCCTCAGTAGAGGAGCGAGCCACACCTTTTTGCTTCTTTGATGACCAAGAAATAGGATTGCGTCCAATATATATGACATAACCATTTGTGGAGACATAATCATCTGTATCACCAGCCCAGTCTGCATCCGAGTATCCTTGAAGTTTATAAGGTGACGTAGAGAAGCAATGTAGTGTATCCGGGGAAGAGGCATGAAGATAAATCCCATGAGTAGTAGTACCAGCAAGATATCGAAGAATGCGTTTGGCAGCTTGCCAATGATCATGTGTCGGACGATGCATAAATTGGGATAGACGATTGACTGCATATGAGATATCTGGCCGAGTAAAAGAGAGGTATTGTAAACTCCCCACAACAGATCGGTATTGTGAAGCATCATCAAGAGCGAGGCCACTGTTCACTGTAAGCTTTGGCGTCGTAGGAAGTGGTGTTGAGGCTGATTTAGCATCGAGCATGTTATTCTTGAGTAGAAGGTCAGTAATATACTTCCTTTGCATAAGATGTATACCACTAGAGGAGCGTGAAACCTCAAT